ATGGGAAGAAATAGTCTCACCCAGAACTGCCACTGCGTGCAGACGCATAACCTCCATAGACCACATATGAAGTACTACTACTACCACTAACCTGAAAAATACACATCCAAAGAGTCATAAACAGATAACTGATATGCTGGAAAAAAAACATCTAAGGGAACCTTCTAAGCAGACATAAGGGCACACCATAAGGTGAACAACCTTCAACAAACAACCCACTTGTGCCATAACAACCAGGAAAATGATTCCCGCATTCAGGTCTTTTGCTATCTCTTCTATCATAGTCCAATCTATCACCAACATCTGGTGCAACAGGAAGATAAGGAAAGACCGCATTAATGCAGAAAGATCACCTTCCCTGTCAAAAACGTTGGCCCTTAGTCTTGATGTAATTTGTATAAGAGCTTCCTTGGGAACATCAATTTCTCCGGATATCTGAATATCAAATTATTTCTAATGTTTAGAAGTTCCACGTGAAGGGCTTCAAGACTGAAAATATGTTAACTGCAATGGCTATTTATTGTGAATATTACCTGAACCATTTCGTCATCTTCAGATGCAACTTTCTTTAAGATCACATCTTGTTTTAGAAAATCAAAAATAAACTTACTATGGATTTTATATGGAAAAAAGAAGTAATAGTGCTAAATTAATATGAAACTACTGGTTGGCTCTAACATGTTTTTTTGCGTAACTCCACAGCAGAACCATGACTTCCTGGCAAGAACACTCCAATTCCACCCGAACCGTCAACGAACACCGCTTCACGGTGGATTTTAGTCTCGGTTGGTTGTGGTAGCTCATTGCTTTGTGTCTTAATGCATCATCATGTTGCTGCTTGTCTTTCTCATTTCCGCTCTTCTAGAACTATACAGAAAATGAACGTCGAGCTTTTTATTTTATAAATCGCCGTATTATATAACTCACAAATAAAAAAATTCAAGTAATTATCAACTAATAAAACATGAGCTCACGTTAGCTTGAACAGATCGGATCTGCTCACCGAAATAAAGCTTGTTTTGACGGAAAAGGAATCATAACATGTTTGTCTCCACCGCAGCGGTGATGGTTCTTGTTGGGCCAGATCCACCACCACAAGACATAATCAAAAATGGGAAGAGAAAAGAAAGATTAATAAGAAATATGAGACTGAATTAAAGAGTAAAGAATCAAATCTTTCTGGGTTTTGAAAAAGTGTGTACCTTCTGATGCTTTTCATCGTCCTGAAGCATGTAGTTAGTCATCTGCCTCTTCACAGCATACATATTCTTTCTACGGTTTATAAAGAAGATTAACTGAGAGTTTTTGCAAAGGTTCATCCAATTCTAAACCTTCTCCAAATTCATTTATAGATTTGGGGTGAGGAAAATGAGAGATACACAACGTTTCGGGGTTAAATGACAATCACATTTATTGGCGAAATTAAGAGGAATACGTTAAAAGATAAGAGAGCCAAAGAGGTGAGTGAAGAGTTCATTTATCTCTGGACTGAAAATTCAGCGGAATCGTCGAAGTGGAAGAGACGAACAAAGGAAACCACTAATCCCTAAATTCAGCATTGGATGAGTCTAGTGTTGAATGCAAGGAGTTTCACATGTGATCACCGGAACAGGAAGCGTTTACGGCAGAAGAATCTTGAAACAGGAAGGGAGAGACCTAGGTTTTGTCCCACTCTATTGGGCTTAAAAACGAAATAAATGCATAAAAAATGAGAGAGCAGTGACCTTCGAACCCACCCCCGTGCGGATTAAATGAGGCGCCTTGGACCACTCGGATAATACGTTGTTCACTGTTTATAACATTTTAGCAAGAGTATGTTGTTTTTAAAATGCACGCGGGGCCCACTAATTTGCTGACGTGGACACCTTTAGAAGTCTTGAAAGTCTACTATTATATATAAGATT